TTAATATCTTGCTTCATTTGGATACCATCCCCACTGTTACTGCTTCTGCTTAGTTCTTGCAGTCCCCACTCCTTCCCTTCAGTCTTTTCTCTCACAGACTATGGATGTCTCTTTTAAAACCTCTGTGTATGACTTCACCATCTGCCTTCTGGCTCAGAGATCCCTGAAATGCAAATCAATCTCAGCGCTGAAAGGGAATGCTTGTCCTACTGAAGTACAACACTCAAGTTGCCAGTCAGTTCTCAAAGTCCTATTACATATCTATATCTTTACAGATATAGACATACAGATATTTTGTTGTTATTGTTGTTTCAGTTGCATCTAACTCTTTGTAACTCCATTTTGGGAGTTTTCTTGGCAAAGATACTGGCATTTCCCTCTCCAGCCCATTTTACAGATGAAGAAACCGAGGCAAACCGGGTTAAGTGACTTGCCCAAGGTCACACAGCTAGTAAGTGTCTGAGGCCAGATTTGAACTCAGCAAATTGAGTCTTCCTAACTCCAGGCCAGGCACTCTATCAACTGTGCCACCATCTAGTGTCCCCTATTGTCCTTTACAAGGATCAAATAGGCCACTCAGAGCCTAGCAGGGGCAAGCCTTTATATTTCATTGTCTTGGTTACTTTCCTCTTTACATTCTATAATTTCATTAGGTAGGCTGGGAAGATTTAATTGATCAGTGTCCCTTGATTACCAACCTTCTTCGCCCAAACACTTTTGATTTTTCCAAGCATTTTAATAAATGATACTCTATTTTGTCCCTGGAAGGTATGTAGTACAAGCTTGAGAGCATGATGCCCCACTTCAGAATTTAGACTCATACCTTTGCACATTCTGAGGGTGCTTAGTGTAGGTTAGGCTGGATGGTGCCTGGAGCAGGAGCTGAGATTTCATTCATTAAAGAAGAGCTATTTGTATTGTCCTGAGACTTTCTAACTCTTAACAGCTTATCTTTAGCTTCATTTATCCTTCTGCCATCTGCTCTCCTCACGCTTACATGTAGCACTAGTGGTTTCCTTTATCTAACTAAATTTGCCAATAGTTGATCATTTTTCTTGTCGTGGTCATAATATTTACGTTCCATGTGGCAGGATCTTCTAGGGTTTGGCAAAAAAAAAAATTTTCTGGGTTTTTCTCTTTTTTTCAAGGCTTTACTTGCCTAGAGAAAGATTTTTCTAAAACAAGATAATGACTCTTTCAGCTCTCTTCAGACATCTAGCATAGTGTCTGTCATACTATTGATGTCTAATAAATGTTCATTTACTGACTCTCAATACTGCTGGCTGCATAGATAGTGAATGTTCACATCACTTATAAGCTTTCATGGTTACTGCTGACCTTTTATCAGCTGAGGTAGCAAGGCTGGAAATAAGAAATGGAAGTTAGGTGGCAGAGTGGATAGAGCACTGGACATGGCATCAGGAAGACATAGTCATGAGTTCAAATTCAGCCTTAGACACTTACTAACTGTGTAATTCTAGGTAAGTCACTCAACCTTGTTTACCTCAGTTCCTCATCTATAAAATGAGCTGGAGAAGAAAATGGCAATCCACTCCAATATCTTCGCCAAGAAAACTCCAAATGGGGTCACAAAGAGTCAGACAAAACTGAAATGACTCAACCACAATCATAACAACAACCACCACCACAACAAATTTTGCCAGTTTTACTCCTTAATCCTGCATCTATCACCAGGCCAATGTATAATGTCTTGTTTTTTAGGCTTTTCTCTCCTCTTAAAATTTTTTGCTCTAAAATTAATGATCTATCCTTGAACTATTCTTTGGCATAAACCCCCAAGAAGGACAAAGACTAAAAGAAAAGTCTTGTACACACCAAAATATTCGTAGCAGCAAGAATCAGTGTAATGTATTCATATGTATGTATATATGTATGTATGTGTGTGTGTATATGAGAAAACAGCACAGTGGCCAAGTGGGATGGTGGGAAGTGATGGCCAAGGAGGGATCTTTTGGTTTGGAAAACTCCAGGGCTAATTTGGAGCATTTTGCATATTGGGTTTCTTCCCTAAGAACTACGTGTTCAAATCCTTAGACCCACAAAGTATGTTGTGTAGCTACTCAATTCCACTAATTGGACTCTCTGTTTTTTAACTGGGACCAAATAGCTTTGAAAATTACAGCTTTGTAGTATAAATTGAGGCACAGCTAAGCTCCCTTTGTTCTTACTTCTTTTCGTCATTTCAAAACAATGAAAAAATGCTCCAAATCATTCCTAATTAGAGAAATGCAAATTAAAGCAATTCTGAGGTTCTGCCTCGTAGCCATCAGATTAGCAAAAATTACCAAAAAAAATGATAAATGTTGGAGGGGTTATGGGGAAACGGGCACATAGATTCCCTTTTGGTCAACCTGTGAATGGATACAACCATTCTGGGAAGCAATTCAGAATTAAACACAAAAAGTTACTAAAGAGTCCTTGGACCTAGCTATACCACTGCTAAACCTGTACTCAAAAAGAATCAAAGAAATAGGAACAGATCTTACATGTGAAAAAAAATATTTGTAGCATTTCTTTTTTGGTTATGGCAAAAAAAAACAAAACTGGAATCTAAAGGGATGGCCATCACTAGAACAAAGACTGAAAAAGTTATGGTATACAAATGTGATGGAACAACATGGAGTTCTAAGAAATTAGGAAATAGATGATTTCAAAAAGACATGGAAAGACTTATATGAACAAATGCACAGAGAAGTGAACAGACATATATATGTGTTGGTATACAGCCAATGAGAAAATTTGTTTTGCTTCTATGCATATTTGTTACAAGGTATTTTTTCTTTTTTTTTTCTCAGTGAAGTGAAGGAGGTGAGAGAAATTAGATTGCTGTTAATCTAAAAAAAACCAATTAAAAACAAAAAAGCTAAGTGGGTGTGGCAGGTTAGCTAGTTCCTCTGAGCTTTGCATTATCTGCAAATTTGACAAATATATAACTATACTTTCATCCAAATCACTGATAAAAACGAAAAACAGTGCAGAGCCAAGTGCTCATTTCTGGGACACAGAATTGGAGACCTCCCTCCAGGGTGACATTGCATACACTACAGACCGCTTGAACTGAAAGGGAAAATAGATGAGAAATTAAGAAAACAGAACACAAGCCTGGCACACGACATAATAGTGATGAGGTGTGGGGGTGGGGGACAGCCTTCTATTATTTGGACATCTGCTGGCAAATTCTCTCCTCCTAAAGAAGAGCAGTCAATAATTTATTGACTTACCTTAGTGATAATTTTGTCCTTCAAAAAGTAGGGAAAACAAGGAGGACAAAATTCTATTCCTCTCTAACAAGAAGGGACTGCTTGCTAGGATGGCAATAATTGGAATCTTTTAGGGAAGTGACATTCACTCTTCCCACCGGTAAACTGTGAGAGGACATAGACCTGTGTGTTGAGGAGCAGAGTTATGCCATTTGATTAAATGGTTTTTGTTTTTAAGTAATGTGTCCTTTGGCTTTCTTACTGTCAAAAGGTATATACAGCGGGGGTTGGGAGATGGCTGCTTTTAAACTATAATTTGGAGTGGGTGCTGATCCACAGAGTGTCTCCAAACTGGGAAAGCTATGCTAAGGGCTAAGTGCTACATAAACAGCACCAATCTTCAGGATACAAAGTCCCTTATTGGCATTTTCTTATTCACTTTCATCAGGTCCCTCTGCTGATCTATTTTACCAGCTTAAAGTGAAGGATTTGGTTTAAGCTTTCCCCAGAGTGTTAGTAAGAAAGAAAAAAGCAGAAGCAGGCTTCTAACCTGCATATAAAGGCAGTCTTTAGAGAAATATCCAAGTCCTGCAGGATTTACGCAAGATGATATTATGGACATCATCATTGGGTAATTTAAATGAACTCCAGCTTGCCGGCTGGGGGTGAGCACCATCCTGACCTCTGGAGGGCTTTTCCAGCAGAGGAGTCTTTGCTAATTATCCTCAGAGTAGCCTCTCACTTATTAGGGTTTTTTCTCTGGAGTTCAAGGTGATTTACTGATACTGGTGATCTCATTAATACAACAAACCCTGGAGACAAATATGATCCCGGTTTGTTTGTTTCAAAGAATGCTTTTTAAAATCAAGACAAATTAAGATAGAGAGGGGAACAGTCTTGTGGGATGGATAGCAGTTAGACTGATCTTGAAATAGGTAATAATGAATTCAGTGTTGCAAACTACGAAGAAAAAAAGAAGAAAAACTCACCTACGTGTCAAACCAGGTCACTGGTGGAAAAGAGATGCGGGAGCATCTTATCTCACCTTCAAAGTTCTCTCCTCTCTTTCAAATGTATATTCTGGGGAGACTAGGGGGCTTAGTGTAAGTTCCTTGATAGACGTTGATAGAAGCACCCACCCTCCTGCTCCCTTTCATAGTATCTAAGACTTAGAACTAGAAGGGAATTTAGCAGTCACAGAGTCCAACCCTTTCATTTTGCAGATAAGGAAATCGAGGCAGGGCATCACAGATTTAGAGCTGGATGGAACTTTAGAGGCCATTGACTCCAATCCCATCCATTTTGCACCACATCATAGATTTAGAGAACATATGAGGCCAACCCTATTCATTTTGCAGAAAGGGAAATTGAAGCACAGAGTGATTTGCCCAGAGTTTACTGAAGAAATGAATGGGGTGGAATTTGAACTCAGGTCCTCCTGCCTCCAACACCCTACACACTACCGCCTGTTCGCTCTCTTACCGGAGTCCTTAAGCTGAAGGCAGCTATGGACAGGAGGGAAAATGTACACAGAGCAGGCAGCCCACAAACGTCCATCCATGCACACGCGCGCGCGCACACACAAACACACACAAACACACTCACAGAGCGCTGGGAGGGAGGAGCGTGGCCATAGAGGCAGGAGAGGAGATGGGAGAGGGTGGGAGGAGGAGGAGGGGAGAGGGAGAAGGGAGGGGGACGCTCTGACACCCAGTGTGCACAGCCTAGCTAGGAGAAAGAAGGAGGCGGAGAAAGGAGGCAAAGGCGCCGGCCGCCGTCGCAACCAGAGCACCGATGCGAGAGTTGCGGTCGGAGAGCAGTGAGCGACCGCTGTCCCCGGACAGGACCCAGGCGGGCCCCAGTGGGAGGGAAGGAAGAAAGGAAAGGATAATGCCACCGCTGCCGCTGCTGCCATCCCCGGAGCCCGAGGAGGAGTCGTGACTCGAGCCTGCCATGGACCCGAAGGCGGGCGGGGGCGAGGAGGAGGAGGATGATTGTGTGGACTCGGGAGCTGAGACCGGCGGGTGAGGAGGGATGGAAGGGATACGGCTATCGGAGCGCAATTGGGGCTCGGGGGAGAGCGAGCGCGCAGGCTCAGCCGCTGCTGGGGACGCGAAAAGGGGGGCGGCGGGGGCTCCCCCAAGCTCAGTGAAGAAGCGGGCGTCCGAAAGGAGCGGGTCGGGGGCGACAGGGTCCTCCCTCCGTCCTTGGACCTTTCTACTCCACCGTGGGAGGGGAGAGTTAGAGTGGAGTAGGGAGAGTTTACATGTGGGTGTTACCTTGCTCTCCCGGCTGGGCTGTAGATCAAGCACCCCCACGGGGAAAGATCTGTCTTTCTCGAGAAGCAGAAGTTTTAGGCGGTTTGGGAGCAGTTACTAGGGAAAGAGAGCTCCAGGCCCAAACTGGAAGGAGCTTGGGGGCTGGGACCTGCTGGCCGGGGCCTGGGGATAGGTGAGACCTCTTGTATTGGGGAGAGAGTCTAGGAGTGGGTCTCGAGGGGGAAGGAGAGCTATTTCACCGTCCTCTCCACCACCTATCTCCACCCTCCCCTGTCTCCTGCCTTCGAACCTCCTACTAAGAGGGGATCGAGATGCTGTTGCACTTGTTGCTGCCCTGGGCTGCCTTTCTTCTTGCCCAAGCTACTAAATTCTGTCTGGGATGTTTGGGCAGGGTTAGAAAAGACTGCTCGCATCTGGCACCTACAAATACACACACACATTTGGTTTTGTGTGTATATGTGTATACATGCATGTGGATGTATATTTCTGTGTATACATACAGGTTAGGTGTTTAGATACTACAAATCAGGTTATTTTTTTTGGTCTGCATCCGGCTTTAGAGTGGGGCTTTAGTGCAGACTTCCTGGCCATAGCCCCCCTCCCCCCATTCCTCCCCCCTCAGTTGAATCATTAGAGTGTCTCCCTCCCTTCCTGAGTTTCAGACTCTCAACTTGTGAGATAAAGGGGAGGTGGGTAAACCCAGTACAATACACTTCTGATTATTTAAATGACATACCATTTCCTATCAGCCAGCAAAATAAAATAATTAGCTCAAAATATCAGTAGAAGAATAATTACTCTTTTCCTAACCACCACTGTTTTCCTGTATAGGACAAAAGGCTGAAAGCTCCTGCCAGGGCTTCCTACCCAGCTCCTCTCTCGGACTGGACTTCCCAGTGCCTTCCCTGCCCAGCCCTCAGGATATAGCTACTGACCTGGGATGACCTGGAGAGGAAAGGGTGGCATGTCCTCGGGAGGAACCTTGAGGGACAGAGACCTGCTTTAGAATCTCGTTATTTCCAAACTAGAAAATGAGCCTGGGGCCATTTAGGACTCATTCTGGGGTTTGGCTGAACTGCAGGGTAGACCTGGGGGAGTTCCTAGAGAGTACAAACTGAGTGGGCTGAAGTATTTAGCACTGGAGTTGAACTAGCCTCGGGCTTCAAGCTCTCCTTGGATTTTCCCATCCTAAGTCTGAGAAATTTAACCATCATGGCATTGATTTTACTGGGGGACTTCCCTGTTTGTGTTCAACTTTGACTTCAAAAGCCAATTATAATCTAAAGAGATTATAATTTCTAATTTTCAGCTCTTTTGTTGTTTTTGTAAATTTGTGAAGTTTATTAACTTTCCATTTTAGGGTTTTTGTTTTCCACCTCCTATGACCTGGAACAAGAATCCAAGAAGCCATAATAAGCAACCTATTCTTAGTTGGTGCAAACCTCCGACATTTCAATTCACTTCCAGTTTGCAATCTCTCCCTAAAACAGATAAAAGGGACTTTAGCTGGGCTGGTAGAAGGCACTGACCCAGATGGTGACATTATCCTTTAGACTTAGACAGTCAGCGGGACATCTGCTTATGTCTGCCAGCAATGGGTTGTTAATGCTGATGGTTTTATGGAGCTCTTTAGAGCCTGTGGTACTAAAACTGTGGCTGCCACAGTGCAGGCTTAGGTGAAGAATTTTTATTCTTTCAATATCATCCTTAAACTTTGAGGAGAGAAGTGAAAAAGATGCATCTCAGTAAGATATCATTAGCTATATTTATTAGGTTGCCTGATCTTTGACACATAGACTTTATTTTCTCCTCTTTTAAATGAACATTTGTATTTAAATCTTAGTTTTGTCATCCTTAGTTTCTCTATTTTTTTTTCAGTTCCCTGTCACAAAACAAAATTCCTTTTGTCAGATCCACCACCCTTTACTCTTCTCTCCAATAATTACTGGTTACTTCAGAATTCAAGTCAGTTTTCTGGTATCTTAGTGAAGAGACAAAATTTGTTAACTTTTGGGTTGAGTGTAGGGGGATTTACATCCTGAAAGCTTTCATAGCAATTTTCTTACATAGTTTCATGGAGACTTGTGACTTCAATACTTCTGGTGTGAAAACTTCCTCCTCCAATGAATCAGTAACTCATCTATAATACAGTTTTAAAGAGTGTGATTTGCCCATGCTCACACAGTTCATGTGTCAGAAGCTAGTCTTGAATTATAATCAATACTGTCATTACCTCTGGAAAGGGACTGCCCTATCATTCCACACAATGTCTTTGTGATTTCTCAGACGGTAACTCCATGCCTTGGCCATCACTCTATGATATGTGTTGTTCCTCCCACTACATGTAAGATCCTTGATCACTCTTTCATTTGTAATCTTTTGTTTCTAAACTCCTTCCATCTTCTGCCCTTCACTGAGAGACATGTCTCCCTCCTGATGACAGGGCTTCCCTTGCCACACTTCCATGCCCCCATAATTCACTGCTTGTAAACCAGAGTTCTCTTAGTTCATCATTGTCACTTCTAAACAGTCCTTCCCCTTTCGAGGTTCATGATTTCTAAATTTATTACCAATTTCAGATACTGATGGCCTTTATTGCTTGACCCCCAGATTATTCTATTTCCTTCTTCATTGAGTTCAGTGTTTGGTTCATAGTCTTCCTCACCTTTTCACCTTCTCTCATACTAGGGGACTTCAGCTTGCACACTGATATCCCTTCAAATACCCTAACTTCCAGGTTCCTCGGTTTTCCTCAGTTTCCATATTCCTTTACTCCATCTCACATAGAGATGATCAAACCCTAGATTTTGTCATCACCCAGAAGGGTTCTGCTTTCTTCTTCACAGCCTCTGAAATTCTTTTCTCTGATCATAGTCTTTTATTGTCCATCTTTTCCTGTGCTTTTAACCCCTACACACATACTCATACATACTACTTTTCCTCCTCACTATGACTTCCATGCCCTGCACCCCTCAGTTCTTTTTCAGGTGACCATCTTTGTATTAGCTGCCAGGGGTAGAGAACCTGTGCTCTCGAGGCCATATGTGGCCCTCTAGATCCTCAAGTGCAGCCCTTTAACTGAATCCAAACTTCACAGAACAAATCCCTTTAATAAAAGGATTTGTTCTGTAAAACTTGGACTGAAGATTCCCCACCTCTGACTACACTCTCCTTCCTTCTTTCTCTCAGCCCTTTGCTTAACCAGCTCTTGGTAGTGAACTTGATAGTGAATAACTTGATAATGTTCACTTGATAGTGAACAACTCCTCACTATCCTCTATCTTTAAATACCTTGCCTACGTGTCCCATTGCTGGTCATGCCTTACTAAATCCCAACCTCAGTTAAGTCTCACTATCTGCCGCCTCAATTATTCATGTGCTGTTGAATGGAGCTGAAAGAAATCATGAAACTATGCAGATGGATTTTCAAATTTCTGTTATCTATTCTCTTTCTTTCTTTCTTTTTTCTTTTGGCAAGGCAATTGAAGTTAAGTGGCTTGCGCAGGGTCACACAACTAGTAAGTGTCAAGTGTCTGGTCTAAGATCACATTTGAACTCAGGTCCTCCTGACTCCAAAGCCAGAGCTCTATCCACTGCGCCACCTAGCTGCCCCTTTTGTTATCTGTTCTTAACTGGGCCCTCACTCCAGCAAGGCAAATGTTCTGCTCTCTACAATTGTGTTAAACCTTCTTGTCTCTCCTTAAGCCTCATAGCCTCTTTACTGATGACCTTAACTCATATTGAGAGAGAGAGAAAGAGAGAGCATTTGTCAAAATGTTCCCTTTTCTCCACATCTTCTTCCATTATCACCTCTTCTCAAGTCTCAATTGATGAAGTAGCCTTTGTCTTTACCAAGGTAAACCCTTGTGCCCTTTATCCCATCCCCTCTTGACTTCTCTAGCAAATTTCCCCTACTATCATCATTCCTTCTTCACTAATCTTCAGTCTCTTGGCTCCCTCTATCTATTGGCTCCTTCCCTTCTGCCTATCTATATGCCCATTTCTCCTCATCTTTAAAAAAAAAAACAAAACAAAAACCTCTCCCTGGTCCTACAATCCCCACTAACAATTGTCCTATATCTCTCCTCCCATTTGTAGCTAAACTCCTTGAGGATGTTGCTTTCTCTCATTGCCTCTACTTTCTCTCCTATCTCTCACTTCTAAACCCTCTACAATCTTGCTTCTGATTTCGTTACTCAACTGAAATGTCAGTCTCCAAAGTTACTGATGGTCTCTTAATTGTCAGTCTTAATGGACTCTTCTCATTTTTTGTCTTTCTTGATTAGTGGTGTAGTGGATAGAGGACTGGGCTTGGAATTAGGAAGACCTGAGTTCAAATACAACCTCAGACATTTCCCAGCTATGTGACCATGGGCAAGTCAACTTTTGTCTCAGTTTTGAGGATGCCTGCCTCTCAGGGTTGTCATGAGAATCAAATGAGATAATATTGGCACAGTGCTAATCCATACTCTCCTCTCCTATCCCTCCCATATTTTCATCTTTTTGTATTATTGTCAGAGTACCAGCATCCTTCCAGACAACATTCAAACAAATATATACAAAGCAAGCTATATACAGAATAGATAGGAAATAATGTCTGACACATAGTAGGTGCTTAAATAAATGCTTCCTGTTTCCTTCCTTCTTCTCTATAGCCCTTGACACTGTTGATCACTTCCTCTTGGGTACTCTCTCCTCACTAGGTTTTCATGATATTGCTTTATCTTAGTTCTCTTTCTATCTAT